TCGTACTAGTATTGGGTTATGGAAGTTCTCACGATTACCAATCCCCAAGAAGCATAGAGTAGCACAAACCAACCGCATTGACTAGGCTTGTTACACAGACAAGGCAAATAAAACTTGTGATATTTTCTCGACTGGATACTCCAACGAGAGCAATCTCTGGTTGTGGAGATTCTCATTCACTCTGATTGTGTGGAATTATAAGCTGCATCCTAAGTTCGATCGCCATTTCCTTAGATTTCGACGAAGTTCTACATTCTCTTCTGTGAGGCCTGCCAAAACCATGTACGTCCGAATGTACATTCCCTCACTATTAGGCTAGGCCAGCAAGATACGAAGCTCATGAGAATGAGTAACAACACAAGCAGGAACGTGGAGCAGTTCGTATCAGACTCACTCGCTACCGCTATAGTCCTCAGTAGAAGTGGCGGGACAATTTGACACATCACAGCCTCGCACCATTAAAACAATGAGACGTATCGTTGACCAAGCGAGACGTAAAAAGTTGAGTGGTGGTCGAGCGGAGCTATCAGAGCCCGTGTGGCGTCGCTTTGCAATAACAAGATCGAACTGGCCTCGTTGTGGAAGTTTTCAAACAGTGCTTCATGAACTCTCTGTGAATTTCGAATCTTCCTATCCTTACTTAAACGCAATCATATATACGAACGTCAAATATCTGGGGATGAATCTTTCCCCTCAGATGGTGATATTGCAGGAGTAGACTTGAATGTTTACTGCACCAATAAAGGACGTATTCGATCACGCCAATGCTTCCTGATGAGTCACCAGTGATGACTTCTTCGAATTCAATCGACCCACTGGTTCGACCATGGATGACAACCTGAAATCAAATTACACACAAAGGGTAACGACATCGAGAAGTACTGTCACGAACTCACCTGTCCACTTGGAAAAACTAATGTGTAAATTTCGGGTCGTCGAGGCTCCACTGTTGGCCGTTGCGTTCCTTCAACAGAACATAATATCAGGAAAAAATCTTTGTCACATACCGTTATTCGGGATGACGGATTGAGTGGACTTCGGAATGACTCATTCCCAAGCCCATCACTCAATCTGCTGGCTGCACTATCCACACGGGGACCTGAAACATACAACTGCCGACATTTGCCTCTTCACTAGCATACGCTTCTTCATAGTAAACATGAGCACATGCAATTCAGGTTCATCGAGACCACCGTCTTCCGGCCGTGGTCGCTTGCTAGACGGAGAGCCGCTCCCACCGCTAGGGGACTGAGGGACCGTTGCTGGTTGCTCTAATGGAGCCGCAGCAACTGTGAAGAGGAGCGCTTTGAAAAAGTGGGATCAGACAGCCTACCAGGCGGGACCTCGTGTCGATAGTCATTGCCACAGAGGTTCCTGAAGTCCCTAATGATGGATCGAAGGCGATCCGCGCACAATTCTCTTGGTCGAGTATCTTGTCCTCAGCCCTGAAACAGAATGTAATATGCCAGCTGGGGCATCCTCCTCACCCCTACGGCGTCTACATCATCCGGAAACCTCGCTACAGCGACCAAGTTGACGACTCTATAGACCCCCTTGGTTGGCATGTGCTGCTATGAGATAACGCTGCGCAGTCGTTGCCATCAGATGCCGAGTGCACATCGTTCAAGGGCGGCCGTCAGAAAAGGCACCTCAAAAGCCGGCATTCGAGATTATTAACGTTCATTGCAAACTTGTTGGCCAAATCTTTCAAAGCTGAAAAACAAACAGATCAGATGCACATCCAGATCGACGACCAGAGCCCGGTCCATATCCACTCAATAGTGGCATGCAGGTACTCACAGCTGCAGATGTAGATTCTACCAGTCGCCTTGCATAGGGCGACATATCCAGCAACAGCTTGTGGATTCGCAGGAGTCGGTGGCGCCCAAACACTAAACGTTATCATCTTATCTCGGCGGTTCTGTTACAAGGCTCATAGGCCGGCGGCCTCACCTTATCTTGACGTTTGGCGACCTGTTGTAGTATCTTCAGTGAGGTCAATCGTGCCCAGCTTAGTTTCAATGACCGCCGCCATAGCTACCTCAATCTCAGAGGCAGCAGAATCTTGCGGCTGCTGCTGCTGCTGCTCCACCCCTGAACCCAGTAGTGTTGCTCATCCTGGACAACCAATCGTCCACCTCGACGTGCCATAAAGGGTGGCGGCATTCCCAACGGTATCCCTCCTGGTCGAGGCATCCCAGCCGTCTAACAAGCAGAACGTAGATGGAGGCCAGAGGAGGTATTCATCTCACGGTCATCCCCATAGGATAGGGCACCATCATTCTGCCCTCCCCCCGGCCAGCCATGCCCTGATTATATTTTTATGACCCCCTCTGAGCTCGAGCACTCGATCATTGAGCTGTCGAGCCGGAGTCCGACAGGTACTTCCAACCTCGGCCTTTATGACCTGAAATGAGAAAAAGAAGACGGCACCGAGTATAGTGTGAGAATAATATTGAGGCGCGCGGTAAGTCTATGCAACCATCACTACCTTAAATATCTCCCTCTATCCTTCTAACCTTAGCGGAGGCTTGTGACCGACTATTCCGATAGTAGACATGGTGAATCGTCGCTACTGCGATGCACGTGGCTCATTCGACGAGCGCGAGCCTCTATAGAACCGGGCTTGCTTTGAATAACAGCGCAGTTTTAGCAGAATTGTCATACCACTCATCATGATGAGGATAACGACCAACACTACTACCACCACCACACATCCCATCCTTCACCACGAAAAGCAGCGAGGAGAGCTTCACCAGAAACATATTAGGTCGTCTTTCCTGTTCGGAAACGGTCGGTCCGCCGAGCAGCCTGCTGCCTCTCGAGAACTCGCCGGCTCCTGGCCCTCCCTCGAGCATCGAAGTGATGGGCGTATTTAGATCCCTCCCGTGGGGCCTCGGGGGAAGCAACGAAACTGAATCCCGGTATTCCTCATGTAGACGCCTGTTCAGCGGCTTACGGTGATGCAGAGACATGTTGGAAGTAGTTGTTCTTGATCTCATGTAGAGCAACACTCGCGACCATACCCAGATCAGCCTCGGTCAAGTTCATTCGTCCGCCTGCGTCGCTTAGACGCACACGATTGAACGACTCTAAAGCCACAAGTCGCCTTTCACACACGACTGTCGAGGTGCTGCTCACTAGGGGGCGTCGCAAGCCCTGCATGCGGCCCTCTGATCAGCAAGGCTATGCCGTTTGTGCTCGGTGAATTAGTCGTGAAAATGTCTCCATCGCCACCAATAAGCGGCCCTTTAGTATCAAGTACTGCGGGGAAGAGCGAGCTCTCCTCGATAAACCTAGTATGGAAATCCCCATAACACGCTGATGGTGATGACCGACCTCTCGAGCCGATCAAGTTTACCATAGGAGAAAGGCATGTTCCACAATGCGCCCTAACCAAGCCCTCATTAGTGGTACAATCAGTTTCTTGCTGGCCTCACCTGACTGCTCCTTATGGCTTTGTGATCAAACGGATCAGCATTCGTTCTTGGCAGGAACCATATTGAATGCCACTTCAACGCGAACGCGGAACGCAATATCGTTCCGAGCTGACCCGCATCGATAACACCATCTAATATCTACACCAAGCCAACAGCCCGTCACATGGTCAGCCTGCAGAGCTGCTTCTCACCAGCAATAGTTTGGTAGTATCAGGAGGTTTCTCCAATGGTTGAGGCATGCGTATAGTCCCCAACATGTTGTGTTGATAGGATCGCATATTGGCGACTCTGAGGGCGAGCTCGTATAGAGCGGAAAATACGATAGTAATATTAATCATCATTTGACACGGTGTTCCCAACAACTCCAAATCGACTTCTCGTGGATTTCAAGCCATTTTAAAGACTTCCTCTCGAGAGATGGATAGTATTTTCATTGAAAATATGGTATCGGGAATTAAAACTTTTCTAACTTCTGAATAACACCTTGTCAGCAGCAGCAGCATCCACAGTGATTCGATGAGCATGAGTGAGAGTTAGCACTTTCACAATGCAGTACATTTTCAACCTCCCATATGCACAGCTTTTATGTCAGGGCTTCAAAAACAACATAGACTTACCTCCTGAGTATCTTGTCCGATACCACATGATGTGATTCATATCGCAAAGAACACATGGGGGGAAGCGGCCGATCGGAGACTATCTCTTTAAAGGAGTAACTTCAGCAGCACGACAACAAGAGTAGCATAGATCTCTAGCATGTTCAGTGAGTACTTTTCCGCCAACTCGTTGAGCAGCTTCTTGCCCGATACCACACACAGTTTACTCTCCACCCTCCGAGCACTCTCATTCGCTAATCCTAGTAGCTCTGCCACCAGGGGGTCCGATAGGGATTTGATCACGCGATGCGAGGCCATTGTTGACGATGAGATAATCGAGCCGAGCTGAGCTCAGGGGAGTTCTTCAGTTTGCGTTAGTTTTAATTGAAATCAACTGCGCAACTTTGGGGATACTCATAGACTTTGAGAGACATAATAGTAGGGGTACGATCAAACAGCTCTCATAGCCTCCCTGGACTCACATTTCATCAACATTCGATTATATCAACACCCTATACTCATTGTAGGTAAAATCGGTGTTCATGAATTCATGATCAAACGTCAATCGAAAGCCGTCGCTCCACGAGATCAGCGACAAGCTCGTGACCATGGGCTACCATCTGCTGCTGAGGGCGACAGCCTTGGATGTTCTCCACCTGCATATGGTCGTGAATTACGAATAGCGGTCCGTCGTCAACAACTTAGTATTCGGCTCAACGTTGGAGCGATCAAGGTAGTGTAAATCTAGTACTAGTACTGTCTGACAACATGGACGACCGAACAATCAAACATAACGATGATGATGATGATGATGATGATGATGATGATGAATTGCCTACCTCCATCTTGCGTAGATGCTCTAACTTGTCATGAATTGGGGAGAGCAGGGGCCCATTTGACAAGCCTCGGTTAGGCACAAAAATCGTAAGGCGCTAGGCGATTATTGCACCTAACAGCGGAGGTACCTTACTGCACCTAATGCCTTCCACCTTCCCGTTTTTTGCTCTTCCGCTCCGCTTATATGCCGAACCCAGTGCGGTTTCTCCGCGGAGGTTCAAATCCAGCGCAGTGTTATTTGGCTTCATTTTCGACTCAGACATTTCTTGAGAGCTTAGCGGAGCGTTGCGGCAGTGAAATCACCTCAGTAACGGGAGACTATGCAAACTTGGAACGCACCGCGAAGAGCACACAATCTGCACGTGCATACGCACACATGCGTGCAAGAAATGTGTGCGGCCATCCCACGGAACTTAGCCTAACAATTCCTTGTTTCCATGTGGAGCAGCAATGCACGACTGGCCTGATGCGCTTTGACCACACCCACCCGACCCGGGGGATGTGTGCTATCGGTGTGCAACAAGTAAGACCTAGTTCGCACCATCCGGTCCCTGCCGGTGAACCGCAAAAATCTAAGGAGAGTGTAAGTTTTCTAAGGAGGTCTGCATTTCCCAAGGAAGCCGGAAAAATCTAAGGATAACGCGAAGATTTCTAAGGAGGTCTGCAAAGTCTAAGGATGGTAGCGTCATACCTAAGGAAGGGCGGCACGGCTTTTACAGGCGGTGCAAGCTCATCCAAACGTAGCTCTACCATAAAGCCTCTATGCAATCTGCACAATGTGTTGTGTAATATGCGATGTGGGGCCGAGTCATCAGCGGCCGCGTTTGTTGTGGCATATCAGCCCGAGGAAAGCAAGACCGTTGGCAAGAGAGCGGCGAGCCCAGGCATCATGGGTAGTAGGCGGTCGAAGCGTCATAGAAGAGAGCCATCCCGCTATCGTGGCTTCATAAAGCTGTGATTACAGCTTAATTTACCAAGTGTGCGGGAAAGAAGTCCCGTCTTCAACACACTGTCGGCTTACTCGCCGATTTAGTTATTCGGATACGGGCATCCTAAGCATACGTAGAGCGATGCATCAATAACCCCAGTCTTAGAAGAGAAATCTTGTTGAAAGTTAGACCGGTTTTTGCCGGGTGGGAGGGGGTGTGAGAGGCTCTCACTGAGAGCATCACAAGTTGTAGAGTAACAACCAGCGAGTGCAACACTTATCGGGGATAGGAACCGCCAAAAGAACCTTGGCGGGGAAAGTTCCCCTGCAAGCACTCAGGCTGAGTGACTCAGCAAAAAGAATTACCTTCGATGCCGGGGGCCAGGCTATAACTGGAAAAGGCTACAGGAGGGAAACTCCTGATTAAAACCGTCATCCGGGTGAGAGCTGATATCCGGGTTAAGGCTGTTATCCGGGTGAGAGCTGATATCCGGGTTAAGACTGTTATCCAAGGCCTCAGAAAAAAAACGCCAATCGCAAGGCAAGAGCGTAACCTCCGTGAACCCGAAACCCGACTCAGGTCTCCCCTCGGGCGACCATCACCCAAAACCCGGGGAGATGGCTGTGTGAGAGCTGAGAGGGTTCCTTAGGAAAAAAACGGAACTCCCTTATGAAGTGCCGAACCTCCCTTAGAAAAACGCAGAGGACGAGCGAAAACGTTTCCTTAGAATTCTTACACTCTCCTTAGAAAAATGATATAGATGGGTCCCTGCCACATAGAACCTTCGGCGCATGCGCAGGTCATGGGTTTCCCGATTGCCGATCTACAGATTAGACAATGAGACTACTAGTCTGAGACTAGTGGCAACGTTGAACGTTGCTTGATTGGCAATCTCGCGCACACTTGGAAATCCAGCCTTCGCTGAATGGCGCCCCGGTTCTCCAATCCCACACTCTCGAGTCGGAGGGGCTTTCATGTTGCTATGTGAGCATAATTGTAGCAGAACACGTATATGTCGTTCGCCATGCTGATCGATTACAGACGCTTGAATTCTCCACCATTCCATGAATCCATGGTATACCGTTAGTTACGGTCCGTAACTTATAATGTTGCCTATACTGGCCATAAGCAATAATCAGCCCCATCATGGGGCTGATTATGGCTTATGGCCAACAGTACGCCGTAACGGCGTACAGTTGGTCGCAGCAGATTTCGACGCCGAACACAATGCGAGTGAACACTACATATCATAAACATAAGTTAAAGTCCGGTACTGGTCCAGTACTACTGGACGTAGTCCTTGCGCTCGAGGACAAACCAGCTTCCGCAGTGCTTATAAAGTTTTGGTAGGCCTTAGACTCGGCGGGCAGCGGACTCTCGCTCGGAGATTCCTCGGTGGCTGAGACTTGGTCTGCCATTGTGAAAATTCCACCCCGCTGTGAAATCGACCCACTGCAGAGACTTTTTCAGTGAGAACCGAAATTCGGACCATACATCACTCAGTGACGGTCACTGGCACCATTGTTCTCAATACCATTCAGGCTTTCGATTGAAACCAATCGATTACTGTGCTGGGAACAGTCATAAAGTTGATCCGCATTCCTAGCATTGTTTCAGAGTCAGTATCTGGAGTCTTTTATATTGCGAGTATCTCGCGAAGAGACATGATTCCAAGGCTACTCACTGTTTCACGGTAGATCAGGCAAAGCTTTTTCTTGGGGTGGACTACCTCAATACTCAACTATAGTAATACAGTAACACGGTGTTACTAACACCGATCGGAGATGGACAGCCGAGAGTTGGAACTCGTTCGGTCCCTGAACAGTTGGGAACGTAGGGCTCAGTGATAAGTTTATCGGTCATTATGGGGGCTCTTCTGAGCTGGGTGAATACTAGAGATAGATCGGATACGTACGACATCGCAGACAAGAAGTACTTGCCCACTTCATTCATAAATAACGCAACTTGTTACCGACAACATGACTCACTTAGTTACATGATTTTGTGTTGCCTGAAGAAGGTCCTCAGACTGTGCCTGAATAAAGCAGCTTGACATCGTGTATCACCGTGACGAAGACTGCTTACACTTGGTATGCAGCAACAGCCGCGTAGATCACCATCTGCAGCAAGGCTGCCCACATGACTCGACTATTTACCGTCTCGGAGGCGTTACGAAAGGTTTGAGAGAGGAAGCCTTAGTGAAAGTCGGCACAGTTAGCGGATACCTCCTCTTGATCGCCCTCGTATTCATTCTCTGATACTATGCCTGACACTTTGCCGATCAAACCCTTCACTTTGGAGGCTCTGAAACAACTTATAGCAGAGATCTTGGAGATGATAGCACTGATCTCAGCAGGAGCGAGACGCACACAACTTCAAGAGAATTAGGTGGCCCTTCGAGGGCCGCATTACGTCGTTCTCAATCCCTCACCGGTTGCTGCGTCTACAGCACCGAAGGGCATCGCGTTTTCAAGGTCTGCCTCGTCGAGGACGTCGAGCGTGAGGCTCCATTTGGTTCTGGAAAAGAGCAAATATCGCCGACAGTAACAGGTCTTGTCATGTTCATCATCGACTCGGACCATCCGCGATGGTACTTCGCCTTGCTTGCCAGCTGGGCTTTCCATCTACGACCAACTTCTTCGAGGCACATCGTACAAAGTTCGTATTCACCACCTGAATCTCTGAGTATCAGCCGACCTGACCCATGAGCCTACCGATCTTAGGCGAAAAGGCCACTATACCAGATTGCTGCGAGGTGGGTAGTGATCTAATGATCGGGTGAACTGACGTCGCTGCGTCTCCATCGTCGTCGAGGTACCGAGCCTCCAAGCGGATCTCACACCTGGACCAACACATGATTTGTCCGTCAGCCTCACGATGAATTTGACCCAATAAGGATCCCATCAACCAGAAAGTTGTGGAAGGGGAGAAAAACACACACCTATCACTCGTCCGTGTGGATGTTCTCGTTCGTATTGGGTTAATTACTGCACGCCGAATCATTGATATTGATATTCCTTGTTCACAAATCGGCACCCAATTTTTTCCTCACCGAGATGGACTCAGTTCATCAAAAGTGAGAAAATCGTTGTAATCACCGAAAGGGCGACGATCGTTGCGCAACGTGATATGGTCTTACTGTAATCCAAAATCGCCGTCATCGGCTCCTTCGATCATCAAACGTGTAATCTTGGTGTACTTGATGGCTATGGCCACGTGTGCCGCTATATGCTGACTGATAACGATAATACATCGTCAAACTCACACTGGGAGGTGCTCTACACATACTGGAAGCAACATCTGCTGGCCGGGAAGAGTGTAGAAATGGAGACCCAGAACTTGAAATAAGAAAATGATGACACCAATTAGACGAGGCAGAATCACTGACATTATCGATGAGCAGGACAACCTCTGGTACGCGAGGGGAAGTACGAAAGGGCCGAGATAACAGACATGAAGAGTCACCCGAGGGCATTGGATCCTATGAGTAACGATTACGTGGAGAATACGATGGAATAAGCGGCTTATTATAAGCCCCTTGCGCCCTAAAAGTACTCACTCATTCGAAGGGTGTATGCCACGAGTATACGGTCCGGCGGGCCGATAACTATCCATTATTGAGAAGTATCATATCAATCAACGGCGTAGTATCGTTGAAAGAATGTGTATATCGCGTTGATGCTACTGTACAACATTTACATAAACCTCAACACCTATATTGGATCATTTAGAGGAACATCTTCCACTACATAGCGAGGGTTGGCCTGAATATCGGCATTGAACATAGCAAGAACAGAACTTAGTTGTCAACTAAGTTATGTTCTTCTGTTCTTCGTCAGGCGCTCAATGAGCGCCTCAGTCAATAACCCCAATCAGAATAACCATTCTGAATCTCGTGTGCATTTACCTTGTTTCTAACTCGTCAGCATCCAGGTAGTGGGCACTTCTATCATTATTACAAAAGGGCCGACTACCGCAGTCAGGCCGGGAGCTTGGCCCAGCACAGGAGTCAACAGTGACATCACCGGCGGGCCAACTTAGGGAGTCTCCGACTGTTTCCGTCCTTCCATTTCGCAACTACCTCAGAGATTAGCCTTTCTGTTGGGAATCGCCAAGGCGCTGCCTCGCGGGGTCGGGGTTGCCGAAGGGGGGCCTACTACAGCTCTACAAGACTGGGACCTCTCACGTGTTTACCACACTCTATAATCACTATGCTACACTACAGGCGATTTCTACACACGCTACTGCGTTCAAGCCACACGAACATATGCGAAGCTCCCGATAAAACGAATATTACACAGTGTGCGTTTGTGGAATCCCGAGGGTGTTCAAGAAGATGTGGTATGAGATTTGTACGCGTGCACAATTCTGTCCCGTTATGTATGTTGCTAATAGTGTCCTTGCTTCCCGTCTGCATAAGACCGTGGAAGTGGAACTAAGAACTGTTCTTGAGATTTTGTAACCGACGACCCGCTCACCTTTAACAACATATCACCATCGGCATGGGAAGGAAGTGCAGACGCGCATGTCTTCCGTGTCATCCGATCCAATGAGCAACGCCATCATCACCTCATCGGTCGCGGCGTCCAAGATAGATGCTCTGTCGAAGTACGTCGACTTGTACAGCGACTTGCCATCATTGCAGGAGGTTATCGATTATCATCACGTGAAGAGCCAAGCTGAGCACGTTCAGGTCGATTCCGCCGATCATGCGCTGTTGATGCCACTGCGTGGAGCATGCCTGAGTGGTAGGTAACTCCATCACAGTGGGGGGATAACTGCACCTGAAGGTGACCTGGAGGGGGCTCGGCTACTCCTGTCGAGATACCCTGCCGTTGCGGGAGCCCTTAAGAGCACTTTAGCGGTTCCTTCATTGCTCCTGTTGGCCGTCTCAAGCAGATGTGCCCCCCTAGTAGGAGATGTGCCCCAGTAGTGCCCATTCCCCACCGATGGCAGTCCCTTCTAGGTCGACCTGCTTTTACAACATCAGTTGTCCTCGCCACCAAGTGGATCGAGGGGACCTGTTCGTCTGTGGTCGAAAGAGACTCTAGGCGAGGCGATTATAACTGCATGTGTGCTCGGAGAGTCGGACATGGTTCGGTCGCTCGCTGGAGCCCGCCCTCCCATAGTAGATTATGAACACCCGGACAGACCGGAATCGACCCCTCTCACAACAGCGGTAGTCGGCAGCAACGCCGCTCGCTCGTCTACACCGTGTATCGTCCCTTAGGTGTGTTATGGTAATGTTGATACTGTCCGATCGTTGCTCGAGTTGTCGGCCTCGGTCATCGGGGGTCATCCGGAAGGCTGGACAGCGCTTCATATGGCGACTCATATGAACTCTGCGGAAATGGCGCACATGCTGCTTGAAGCTGTCCCTCGAGAAGAGTTGTCCATGGTGATCATTCCATATGGGGTATCGGGGTAGATCATCATCAGATTCCTGGCTTCCTCAACAATGCAAGTGCTGAGAGCGTCCATCCATCGGTCTTGCACGTTGCCATTCGTCGATGTAGTCTTGACCTAGTGCGACTCCTCTTGAGATACGGAGTAGCCCTTTCCCGTGTATGCGGGGTGATTTTGCAAAGCCGTCAGGCCGATCCAGTGGCCCCCTCGGGCCCTCATGGTTTGACTCCACTCATGACGGCATGCCAGAACATCAGAACAGGTATGGGAAATCACACCCACCCTTTCGCGTGATGCCGATCTCCGATCAGAAGAGGCGGAGGGTATCGTAGAGGAACTGTTGGGTATTGAATCAGTAGCGGCAGGGATCAACACTCCTTGTGAAGCATCAGGATCGATCTACCGAGGGTCCGAGTGGCCCTTGTCGGCATGCTCTATCACCAATGATGCTCCAGCTAGATACACAGCCCTTCATTTGGCAGCGGACTCGCACAGCAGTCTGCCGATCGTACGTTGCCTCCTTGCTCACGGTGCATCGCCGCTGATAAGAGCGAGAAATACTGCCAAGGGGTGAGTGTGCATCCTTGAGTGTCGCAACTCGGACTTGAGGAAGGTATGGTTTACTCCCTCTGGACCTAGCGTATGATACTCTTCGGTCATCAACCACCGAGACCGAATCTCCCGACGATCCGATTCTAACTGACATACAGATGGAGCTGACGCGATGCGGCTTATGCGGGGCGACTGGATCACCCATTGTAGACCGCTATTGATGCCGTCACCGACTATGTACGTTGAACGTTCTCCATTCCATCAGGTTTGCTTCCGGTGCCATGCTCAGCGTTACTGCACGGGAAGCTGTCAAAAAAGCATGGCCGCATCACAAGAGGATTGCCAATTCGACTTTGCATGAGTATTTTTCATTTGATTTCGGTTTGGTTCGTCCCGAAGAGCTGTACACGAGTGCGTTAATTACGGGATGAACATAATATGTCGAGCATGTTGAGGTAGCGAGGTGAGTATCGCGGTTGGCTGACTCAGCCCGGCTGAGCCGCGATGACTATGTGGATTTGCGTTGTCACGAAGGCCACGAGCATGAAAACAAGTACACGAATGAGGCATTTGTGTTAGACATCATTCGTATTGCGGGAAGGAGCTACTACACTCGAGATCATACAGAGACAGTACAGATTGTACCATACTGTAATAGTAGCTGTATTCTACAGTTACTATTACACGAATACACTCCTCGCAAACAACTCCATGGATCTGTTATTTGTATTCTCAATTGGAGTAGACGGAGCTTATCAGTATAGCACTCTGATCAGTTGAATCCTCCTATTATTGCACACAGCCTTCTGTTCTCGACTCGGTTTGCTATGCTACTATCGTACATTCCTTTTATGCTAAGAAAGAAAGTCTGACCAACCCAACAGGCAACCACTGATACTGAATTGCCGGGAGAAAATTGAGCTGCTGGTAGACATCCCATTGTAGTACATAGTCTTCAATCTGGCAATAGCGCTGTGGTGCCTTGTCGCCTCAGTGAGACTCGTCGCCTTTTCCAGCAAAATCATCGATTCGCGGCGAGCCCCCTCATGGATGGCCTCATTTTGACTGATGATCGCAGTCATAGGCAGATGTGTACTTTCTGGCTGTATTACGTGCTCCAGTCAACCCAGATATATCAGAGCTCTTCGTCGTGTTGCTAACCGTTGCAACATCACGCTCGCGACTACAAATGATGCGCAGGTATCGTTTTCTGTCTCCCGGCGCAAAGCTTGATATATCGTAGCGATGATGGCTACTAGCCACTGCCTGACCTCAAGTATGGCTGTGGTAGAAGTAGATCAATCAGTGAATGTGTGCTTTGCTTACGAGTTTTGTCGCTTATTGGTGGATGGGGTATCCAATAGACTGCCGTTAGTTTTTTTCATCAACTGTAGAGATGCTTTCATTCACTTTGGCTCTGTTGGCCTCGGTTGGATTGGCTGGAGCCGTCCTGTCTGCACCTCGTGATCGTCTAGATCATGATCACTGTACAGCTACTGCTGTTGATTGTGCCGCCACCGCTGATGGTGGGTGCATCGCTGCGACGAGTGCTGATGGAAGTCCTCTCGATTTCCGAATGGTTTATGTTCCACCGAAGACTTACGGACCTGGTGAGAAGAGGGCTGTCTACAAACAGTTCCAAAACTATCCGAGGATTGTTGATGCCTCTCGAGCCCCAAGTTATGCTCCCACCTCTCCCGACCAGAAGCCCAGTGTACCTATTGGGTATATTGACATGCCCGAAGGGACGACTTATGGCTATTGGGATGCCGCTTATGGTGTTATGAATGAAGCCGGTTTATCAATGGGTGAGAGCAGTTGCAGTGGTCGTTTGAGCTCCGTTCCGAAAGGAGATGGCCCGAACGGTAGCGGTGCCTTGTTCTGGGTGGGTGAATTGTCTGATATCGCTCTCGAGGTCTGCTC